GCTCACATAAATATATGCTCTTTAGACAAAAAGTTGTGATCATGGTGAACGTTGTGATGTTATTGCTGTGCTATATTATAACTCAAGAAGTAATGTAGAACATAAGCAATATAGAGTACTGGCATTACAAATCAGTTGATAAAATAGGGATTAGCCAACTGGGCAAGCTCTCCTCCCTCCACTAGTGCTTTGGGAGAGAGCAGGACTAGGCCACACTCTGGCCATAAGCAACTAATACACTCGGTTCACTCTGGTATAACTATTTTTATTGCCATTTTTTATGCCCAAGGAGTACAGAGGAACAAAAAGGTTGGGAATCCCTGATCTATGTCATTGATATAAATCATAAAGAGCAAAGGTCCTAAGACTGAGCCCTGAGGTACCCCACTTGTGACATTAATCCAGTTTGACTGAACTCCATTTGTAACAACCCTCTGCTTTCTTCCATCCAGCCACTCTTCTATCCAATTTGCTAACTTATCCCCCACAACTATTGAGCTAACTTTTTTTACAAGCCTTTTATGTGGCAACTTGTCAAATGCTTTCGGAAAATCCAGATACACCAAATCTACACCCTTACCCTCATCTACATAAGCAGTAACCTTTTCAAAGAATGTTAAAAGATTTGTAAGGCAAGATTTTCCCTTAGTGAAACCATGTTGACTATCCAATAAAACTCTAAACTTTGTTAAATGACTTTGCAAAACATCTTTTAACAGACATTCTAATATTTTTCACACAACTGATGTAAGACCAATGGGTTTATAATTACTGGGAGAATGTTTATCACCTCCCTTGAAAAGAGGAGTTACATTATCTAACGTCCAATCCTCTGGTACCTGCCCACTATTCAAGGACCGACAAAAATGGTATCAAATAGTAGTTATAAATAAACAAATCTAATTTTGTAAGAGAGTAGTAACATGAATAGTCAGAATTTTCATAACCCCGTTTCTCCAGTAACTTATATAAACCTGTTTTCAAATCATTATATCCAATTATTAACCTCCTGGCCAGGAGCCTTATCATTTTTTAAACTTCCCAATTTTTTCTTAACCAGCTCAGAATTAATACAGTCATCTTATTTGATCTCATTTCCATTTATCAACTGATCAAGATGTGGAATACTGCTTAAATCTTCATTACTAAAAACCGAAGAAAAAAGTAAAATTTAATATCCCAGCCAACTCATAATCATTAAATATTAGCCTTTCGTTATCATCCCTCAAGAGTCCTATCCTAACATTTTGTTTACCCTTAATGTCTTTAAAGAAATCCTTACTGTTAATTTTTACATTTTCAGCCAACTTTTTCTCATACATCCTTTTTGATGTCCTAATTTCCTGTTTCACCAACTTTCTTGATCTTCTATAGTCTTTTAAGTCTCCTGTTATACCAGTCAATTTAAATTTCTTAAATTCATGATGCTTTTCTTTAATTTTATTTCTTAAACTCTTTGTGAGCCAACCTGGATTTTCACTTGTAGCTACCCTTTTCTTTCTATTCTGAATATGTTTACATTGAATATTTAAAAATATATCTTTAAAAATTTTTCACATCTGATCAGTGTCTCCAAATAATTCAGCTGCCCAATTCACAACAGATAACTCTTGTCACATCCCTTCAAAATTTGCTTTTTGAAATTTGCAACCAAAATATCATTATTCCTTATCTCCATATGCAGCAAAACATTGAACCTAATAGAACAATGATCACTTGCACCCAGATGTTCCCCAATTTCCACCCTCTTAATCATTTCTGTATTTGAAGTAAACAATAAGTCTAAAGTAGCATTATTTCTAGTTGGTTTCTTGACTATCTGATGAAGAAAGCCATCCTGTACAGTTTCCAAAAACCTTTCCCCCTCATGGTTTGATTATAGAATTTCCCTATCTATATGCCTGAAATTAAAATCACCCATAATTATGACTTCATTAACAGCTGAAATCTTAATCTCATTGTAAAGTTTCTCACTAATTTCATCAGTATCATTTGGTAGCCTGTAACAAATTCCCACTAAAAGCCTTTTCCCTTTATATCCACTAACAGAAACCCAAATGGATTCAATCTGCTTGCTATAATGTTTAAGTTCCACAGAAGTTTCACAAAATTTATCTCACATTTTACATATAAAGCCACTCCTCTCCCTCTCTTTCGTATTCTATCCCTATTAAATAACCTATAACACTGAAATTTCTGACATCAAAATCGTCTATGTTTAACCATATTTCAGTTATACCCATTATTTCAAAATCCTCCATTCCTACCAGTGTTCTAAAGTCATCTATTTTATTTTTTGTACTTCTAGTATTACAATACTGACAATTAAGCCTACCCTTAGAACCACTTCTATACTCATTTCCTATGCTGAACTTTTCTCTACATCTTGATTTCTTTGCATTTAGTTATTCCTGGTCTTCACCACTGTGTAGTCCTAGATTAAAACTTTTCTTACAGCTGGGTTAATAGCCCTTGCAAACAAGCCAGCCCCTACTCTATTTAAATGTAAACCATCCATTCTAAAACCTCCCTTCTCCCACTGAACTGATCCCACAAGTTCAACCAGCCAATCTGCTCATCCTTACATACTAACCTAAGCCTAGCATTTTGCCCTAATGACCTACTTATAACTTCATCCCCACAGTTTATTCTGGGCAGTATCCCTGATAAAATTAAGTTATGGCCATTTTCTTTAAGTGCCTTCATCAACCCCTTGTAGTTATTAATTAGTTCCTCTGACCTACCTTTCCCTACATCATTAGCCCCTACATGCACTACAAAAACTGCATCTCTGCTAGCTCCCTTTGCTATATCTCTTGCTCTGTCAGTTATATCCTCCACCTGTGCTCCTGGGTAGCATAATCTGATTTTTTTCTCCCTATTTACCCCACAGACTATTCTATCCACATGCATTATCAAGGAATCACCTATAACTATAACCTCCTTATCATCCACATCCTTCTCTGACCCTTTTGTTTTCCTTCCCTCCAATAGTTCCCCATCTGCAGAAGTCAAGGGCTGAAGTTTGTTGCTCAACAGAATAAGCTCATTATAACTAAATTCACCACTTTTAGCCTTAACAGTACTCTTTCTAACTTCCTTAAAGTCATTGTTAGCTAATGTATTCCTTGCATGTAAAATCTAAGTATATATTTTCACATTCTTACATAGACACTGGCAAGTGTATTTAAATAGTTCACTGCAACAGCTGATGGATGGAGTTAAATTTTATAGCATGCACATAAACATATACAGAAAAGCATGCAAAGACACATTCATGCTTGCTCTTATATATCAAATTTAAAGTTGAAAATTTATTTATTTTTTTTTAATATAACAAAGATGGATATAAATTATTGTTACAAACAATAAACACTACACCCAAAAAGAAAAGTAACATTTATATCATATACCATAAAAAAATAAATATTGCATATTATTTTGGAAAGAAATATCTCATACATAGCACTCATATAGCCAATAAAGAATGGATACTACCATATGATTTAAATCTATAACCTTTTATTAATGTATTTCTTCTACAGTCATTGGATCGAACAGTTTACATTTCTGATGAATAATTTTGTATAATTTAAAAACTTAAGTATTCAAAAAATATGTGATTTCAACAGATCTGTCTAAAGCAAATATGCATATATAACTAAGTTGTTTTACCCATTTTAACAGGTTTTCCATTTTGAAACCATTCAACTTTGAGTTTTGGGTCACCAACAGGAATCAAACGGCACTCAAAGTGAACTCGCTGTCCCTCCTTTATTTCTACACTGCGAGGTGGACTGGTAAACACAGGGGCCTGAGTAGTGGCTTCTTCTTCTTCCTGCCTTGTAAACCTTTCACATAAACAAAACAGAAACTCTTCAGTGGAAATTCATAGTATTCTTTTCTAACTATTTTATAATAAATTCATTCAATTACAATTATATTGAACTAAACAAACTATACATATTAAAACATCATCCATTTTTATATGCTCTATGGGGTTTTGTTGTTTGTAATAAGTAAAGAAACAAAAAGTATATTACACTTTCTTTACTTTTCTGATTTAAGAAATTTTCAAATCAAATTTAATTCAAAACTTTATCATCCTTTTATTAAAGTATTTTTATGTTGAATATAAATCAAAACAAATGTTTACTTGTTTTTTTTAGCAATGTAAAATAGATAACTATTCTGTTATAGAGTAGAAGGCATAAACATGCAGCTACATGTCATTCGTTAACTAAAACCAAAGTTTGGTTGTTTTAAAGCAAAGCCACATTGAACTATCTGCTGTGTCCACTGTGGGGAATTGAACCCTGGTTTTTAGCATTGTAAGTCTGTAGAATTACTACTTTCCCACTGGAGGACACTAACAACAAGAACAACAATCAATATTATGTCGTACAACTTATTTTCCAAGATTATCATTCTTCCTGTTACATTGCTTCCATATTTTAAAAAGTTAAATAGAAATTTTTTTCTTTAAAAATTGATTTTTTTAAGTGATTAACATTTTTCATATACAAAGAAGATCTCACCTTGTGTATGATTCCAATTTCTGAATCTTTTGTAAGCCTTCAGGATGTTGAGTTTCTGAGATTATTGACGTTTTACCTGTAGTTAACAAAAAAACATAATTATGTTCACTCTTCTCTCATTTTTAACAATATAAAAATGACCTCTACACTTTTCTGAAGAAAGTTCCAGGCTTTTAATAGAAAAAGTTGCAAATTATCTTTAACAAAGATTTATTTCATATGTGTTAAAATAGTTTTTTACACTACAGAACAAAACAGTTGTTTAATCTTGAAAGCATTGTTCACTTATTTGGTAAGATATGTATAGATATAATTGTCTGACCTTAGAAGCATTTGAATATTCTCTTTATGTGGTAAGATATGTATATATATTCTAGATATACTTTCTCCCCACTTCACAACTTGTTTTCAATTGAACTGTCATATCTTTAATAGTTAAAGTTTACATTCGATGTTTGATAAACAAATTACTTGTCATGATCTTTTCATAAAAATACTGAAGTTGACAGACAACAAAGTTATTCTATTTAATATGATAGTAATGGTAAATAAAATATGTGAAATGTAACAAACTCTTTATTAATACATGTTTACTTTCATGCACTTATTGTGTTATGTTAAATATATATTTTTGTACAACATTTAATCCAATATTACTAGAAGAATTACTTTAATGTTCCTAATTCTCCAATACAAAATTAACTATTTCAATAAATCTGTCAGGGACAAAAATCTCTTCTATTTTTATTTTATATTTTGTAAAACTTTGTATATACTATTTACAGTGATTTTTCAAACAATTCAACACAAATAAACCAAAACTAAAACTTACTCTGACATTTAAGGGTGGAAGATATTTCTGTTGTTCCCATGCTGTTTGTAGCTCTACAAGTATATGTTCCCGTATCTTCGGGTACTAAAGACAAGATATTTAGTGCTACATATCCAAAGTCATGGAAAGGACGGTATCTGTGACCTGCATAAACAAACGAAAAGCAAACAAAATTGTAATGAAAATGATTTTTATTAAAGTTTATTAAAACATAACAGTCTAATTTAAATCTAATTTCTAAACTAATTACTCAATGTAAGGAATAACTGAGATGCTTCTACCTGTTGGAAGAGAAACTCCATTCCGGAACCATTCAACTTTTAAAGACGGATCATTAACTGGCTCAAGACGACATTCAAAGTGGGCCTCTTGGCCCTCTCGTAGAGAAAGACCATGCATATGGCTAGTAAACTTTGGAATCACTTTTATAGCTTCTTCAACGAGGGTGTCTCGCTTGTAGCGGCTTGTGTCCTCTAGGTATTGTATCTTTTCTAAGCTTTCAGGTTGTTGTGATTCAAGTATAATCTGACTTTTGGCTAAAGAAAAAAACAAATCAGTAACCAATTTATATTTGTACTGATTATGTAATTGAATCTTACAGTGAAAGTATGTTTGAAATGTTATTCAAACTTAATTTGGTAAAAATTTATTAGTATCATTATTTTCCTTTTTTGCATTAATAAGCAATTTGTTCAAAAAGAACAGACATCTTTATTATCTAATTCTTTTATTTAAGATACATAAAAATATCACTGTAAAGTCCTTGAAAAATTGTATTATGTTTTGAATAGGATCCTATGGCACTTACAAGCAATAATCAATGGAAATCTTAATGTTTTATACAAAAATAACTTATACAGTGGGTCCTCATTCTCCAAGTCTCTAGGTGGCCTCTGATTGGAAGTCAATCATAATTGGTTTAAATTTTGTGGCCAATAATTGTTTATTTTTATTGATGATACATTTTATTTTTCAGGTTAGGTTGTAAGTGATTTAACTATGAGGTATGAATCCTTCTAGTGGTGCACGAAAATATTTGAGTGGTGCTCAAAAGTGCAAAAAAAAAGACAAAGAGGAGATACTTAAAACCAAATTGCAAAAATCAACATCTCTAGTTATGCCTGCAATTAGTGATCTTGAATTATCATTGTCATCATCACAACTAAAATTACACCTAAACCAACCATTGTAATCTACTTCAATCAAAACATCAGTGCATCCTCTGACAAAACTGTTATGCCATCAGCACTAATGACTAACAGTATCATCCACATGACCCATTCTCAACTGATAGAGCAAACTTTCCAGTTGGCATCAATCATGATATTAATGTGCAAAAAGTTCATTATTAGAAATTATTTTTGCATGTCTAGGGGACCTTTCCCATGAGATATAAAAAACAACAACATGATATTTGAATTAATATTAATACAAACTAAGAATGAAAATAAGATTCCCAGGAAGTGGTTGTGTTATTCTTTAAAATTGGATATTGCATACTGTGAACCATGTTGGCTATTTGGAGATTGAACAACAAGCATAGGCAGCTGGAATAAAAGATCAGTAAGAGATTTTATGAAGAAATGAAAGAGCATGAAACGATGCATTCACATTTAGCAGCCTATGTTATGAAAAATGTCAAACTTTTGACATGAAAATAGAAGCTGAATACCTAAAGCAGATTAGTTTTTGGACACAAATTTTAATTAAAATTACTTTTTATTTTAGTAATTATTTCGTTTCGTACTTTTTAACAGCAATTTAATTAATTTGTTTTGTATTTGTGGGCTAAGATATTTTACTTTTATATCCTTTTCAATTAACTGTTTTGAAACTGGGTCATATTTACTTAAGAGTTCTATGACTGACAAAAAGATTCCACTATTTTTTTCTCCAAATGTGTTCTCAGAAAACTAATTTACAAGTTGGCAAGGTAAAAGTAACATCGGGGTTCAATTTTTGTTATGAACACAATGCAAGATATAAAAAATGAAAACCAATTTAGACAGGTTTTTCCAGTACCTATGCACCCCCATGATATTAATGAAATTCCAATGGAAATAAAAATCAATGAATGCTTTCTAGGTTTCCACAGCATTATAGATTAAAGTGGTGAGAGAGACTAGAGGATCTGAAATAAGGAAAATGATCGAGGACAAGGCCTTTTCAGTTGAAAAATGCAGTGGTCAGGATATGATGGAGTTAATGCGATGAATGGTATTTACTCTGGTGTAAAGATCATAAATGAGTATGTAACAAAGAACTGAATGATGTTTATGTGCACTGTGCTGCTCATAACCTAAATTTAATATTGAATGATGCATGCATGAACATTACTGAAATTAGGGAATTCTATAACATTTAGTAGTGGCTATACTCATTTTTCAGTCAATTCATAGTGGGAGCTCTTTACAAAAGTAATGTCTTCTTCAAACACAACACTGAAAAAACTGTGTCCGACGTGTTGGGCATACAGACATAATGATCTTGTTTCATGCTTCCATTTTGTTGATGTAATGAAAGAACTAAATAGGATCATACTACAACCTAAAAAGAAAGATACTCAGAAACAAGTCACCATGCATCTTGCAGTCCAACTCATGGTTGTGGTCTAATACAGAGTGATAGAGACTATGTGATTTGTAAGCATATCATACAATTTTTACAAGCTTTACTGACACAGAAATTTTTGTTTACGTAACTTGTATGCAGTTTTAGTATAAACACCTGGTCCAGAAAGTTATTGAGATTACCTAGCTCTCATTGCTTTGTTTTCTATGACACATAATGTCTATTCTGTCTGAAACGTATCCAGTTTGTTTATATCTCACACAATTTAAAACTCTCAAGTTATCAAACAGAGATTACTCTCCTAATTTCATTATCAAATCTGCTGTTATTAAATGGTTCAACTATTTCACAATTTTAAGGAAATTAGTTCACTTGAAAATATCCCATCTGTAAACACCATATCAAAACTGTTTCAATCTAAGGACATGGACCCTTTTCTAGTTGCTAGAATGTTAAATGCTGCAACTGAGACCCTTACAAACTTTAGGATGCAATTTGGAGAAACTAAAACTACCACATCTTCACTTGCAACTATTTGAGACATTGGGCCAAAGTTTTTTAAAAGACACTTACAACATCCAAAATCAATATTTTGATGAACTTTGATGAAGACTGAAAATTAATGTGATATGTGAGCATATCACGAGTTTCCCACCTTCTAGAATAATATAAAATAATTTCAAATTATTGATTATTCAGTTTCTGCACTGTCATGGCAGCAACACATTGTCCAGAGTTTTTAACATTATTTTACTGTATTTGCCTCATCCTTTGTTCTCTAGTAGGTGGTGTGTACAAAAAGGTCCTTTTCAAAGCTGAAATTGATCAAGAACCACCTTAGAAGTTCTATGACTCAGGAAAGGCTGACATAACTGACATAAGCACAGAGTTTGAACACAAAAGAATGATGCTAAGGCAATCTCACTTTTGATTAAATAACTTTTTCCTCAGTTTTTTAGGTGTGCCATTCTCCAGTCCAAAAGCACCAAGCAGGCACCAGTTTTCAGTTCTTCAATGGTCAGACAGACGAGAACTACTTTACTGAAAACACTTCCAACCAAAAGGTCAGACATTTAATTTAGATATTTTCATTACTTTGGGAGAAGGGGGAAAACGTTTGTCTATGTAGAGAGGGGAAATTGATTAAAAGGAATTAAAATGATTTTGTTAAAGTAACTGTTATTCATTTTTGATAAAAGTCATAAATGAAACCTGTTCTGCAATGAGTAGTAGATACCTAAAAATTGTGCCTCATTTTGAAAAAGTGCCACATGAGAAAAGACACTTTGCCTACATTGATGAAATTAAGCTCCACCCTACCATATTTTGTATGAAGAGTGGGGAGGCAGAACTTTATGTTATGCCACTGGCACAGTTCCTGTTTGTTTATAGTCGGGTTACATACCTATACATTTGACAGAACAGGATGTGACAGCTTGTCCCAAACTGCTTGTGGCTCTACAGGTATAGACTCCACTATCTTCTGGGTAAATACTTAAAATGTCTAATGCAACATAATCAAATTCATTTGCTGGTCGGAAACGATGTCCTAAAACAACAACAAAGCAATTTTTTTTAGAGATTAAACATAAAATGTAACTACCAAGAACAGGCAATATTCCACAATAATTTGTGTAAAGAGGTAGAATACATTCAAAGACACCTGAAAACACTGTGTTGCTTTTTTACATTACTTTCATTTAAAGCTTCCATTTCAAGTGCTTTTTTAATTTGAGAAACCACAATGTTAGCATATAAAGTGCATAAAAATTTAGATATAAAATGGCATGGTAAAGACATTTGAGCAACACACTTTAATTCTGATAACCTGATAACAAAACATATCAATCTCTTTTAAAGTATATTCATAAAATAATTTCATAAAGTTAATTTTTCCCATGACAGCTCCTAAGTTAAATAATCCAGTTTAACCTCCAAATCAATTTTATTCGAATATGAATGAGAATCAATGAATTGTTTTTTTGTTAATACTGTTGAAATGTTTTCACACTTGATGTTTTTATTAAGAGCTTTACACCCCCCTTTTACTTTTGTTTTTGACCATAGTTTATCAGGTACCATGATTTTGAGCTTTAACTATTAATGACTCTCTATAGTATATTAATTGGAATGAAACATCTCTGCATTGTGGCTTGTGCATCAACATACTTCCACTGGCCATAAGCTTCTCAGGTGCTAAGATAATTTGTAGTAATCTTTGAGTTTTTCAATTTCAATGTAAACTTATGTTTTACCTATCCTAATAGGAACATTGTTGATCAACCATTCCACTTTCATTGTAGGATCCCCAACAGGAACTAAACGGCACTCCAAATGAATGTTAGTGCCTTCAATTACTTCAATATTATGTAATGGTTTAGTGAAAGTTGGCATTTGAGTGATGATGGTTTCTTCTTCTACAGGACGATGATAGCGACTGGTATATTCTAATTGCTGAATCTTTTCTAATCCTTCTGGATGCTGAGATTCCAAAATTATAGCAGATTTTCCTATTAGAGTGAAGGATATTTTAAATTATATAAATTTAGTAATTATCATTAAATCAAAAAAATCCTAGCCATTAAGCTAAAAAGGTTATTTTGTATACCTTCAATTCTTCAGAAGTATATAATTAATACTTATAGCCTTTTACATATGCTTAGGTTTCTTTAAAGAAAGTAAAAAAGAATTATTTAAAAAAATGATTATCCTTCTCATATTAAGTACACTTTGTAATTATCATTCTACAAAATACTCCTCTTTCTTATCTTTTAAAGGAAACAATATTTTAATGTGTAGAATTTTTTAAATTTCAGATCTGCAGCTTTAATATGAAAAAGTATATTTTTTTACAAATAATAATTAGATGTCCTTAATGGATGAGATACAACTTCTTCAGTATAAACTATAACCCTCATCTTAGGGTTAGAAACAAATGAGTGAAATATATATATAACTCCTTTCATGCAAAGCTACACAAGGGCTATCTCTGTTAGCCTAAAGGGAAGGCAGCTAGTCATCACCACCCATCCCTAGCTCTTGTTTTACGTTTGAATAGTGGAATTTGACTGTCACTCTTATAATACACCCATAGCCCCCAAATTGGAAGCACAATTTTTTTATTTTGGGAGTAACAGAGCACAAATCACAGAACTTCAGACAAATGGTCTGGCATCCTAGCCCCTGGGCTGCACTCATCCCTTAAGGTTAGTAACAAATGAGTGATATATATATATAAAACCCTCTTCAGTATCTACTATATCTATCATCTTAAAGTTAAATACCAAGAAAGATATTGCTGAAACTATCTGCATAGTTAAGAAAAGTAGTATATTATTCACTAATAATATATTTGTATAACATTTGTATACATTTGTGCTATAGATGACGTTAACACATTTGCCACATTTACAATGATTTTTATCTTCTTCAAAATTTTTAAAATCAATAAATTGTTTGTTATTTTATTATTTCAGTAAAAATTCACTCACCATAGATTTTTACAATAGCACTAGTGTGGGAGGACCCTAATTGATTAGTGGCTCTTACAGTATACTCTCCAGCATCTTCAGGATAGGCTGTCAAGATATTCAGGGCCACAAATCCAAAGTCATACCGTGTTTGGAATCTGCTACCTGATAAAATATAAGAAATTAATCAAATATCTACAAGTTTTTTTCATAAACAATAATGTTATTTTAAGTACAATAAATCAACTTTATAGGAACTATATAAGTTTTAATACAAACTACAGAATTCTCCATAGTATTTCAAAACTAGGATTGAAATACCCTTAAGTGTCGAATTCTGAAAGTGAAAATTTAAAATATTTAAAACAAGTGTGTGTGATGATCATGTAATAACTATGTCTGAATCTTTTAGTTCTAACATTCAAGTTGATTAGCCTACTTATTACTGTTCATCTTCAAAGGTGCAACAAGTAACAGCTGATGATCAATTGTCAACCATCTTACAAACAAGCTGCTTAATAATACAATTAAAGTTGTGCTTGTGTTTCTTTTTATTGCAAACTGTGTAGATATGAAGGCCAGACAAGTAAGATATGACCAATTAACAGGTCACTTGCTTGACAGCCCACCCCTGAACATGCAAATCAATCTGATAGCACTTTCTCATTTCATTGATAGTTGTATGATTGACATCTCTACACAGACAAAAAAAAAACTATGTGACATGAGCTAACTTAAATTAATCAAGCCAATACATACATGTACTTAACATCTGCCTCAAAATGTAAATGTGTTTGATATCAGTGACTCTGTTAAAGTCATAAAAACAATAAAATTAATGCATTTTTTTTACTCTTTTCATGCTTGTGAACCAAAATTTCTATGTGGGAATGTATGTGTATGATGCAACTTTTGTGTGTGAACTACATGGGATTCCATGTCACTGAGAACACTATTATATGAAATGATACATCTTAAACCTATCTTGGCGGATTGAAATATTTCCCACTTGAAACGTTCTCAATGACTCTGAGAAATAAAGTAAATAGCATAAGCTGTTCAGGTTACCTATAAAAAGAATATAATTTATTGAACACACAAAACTGATTAAAAAAATATTTTTTATTTTATTTTACCTAAATATTACAATCACAATTTTAAGGAGCCACAGCTCTACCTGATTTTAGAGGCTTTCCATTAAAAAGCCATTCCACTTTCATTGTTGGGTCATCAGCAGGTTCTAATCGACATTCTAAATGAACTCGTTCTCCTTCTCGCAAAGGTTTAAGATCATGAAGTGGATGAGTGAAAATGGGTTTTGACTTGGATATTTCTTCGATCATGTACTGAGGTTCCTGGTGGTGGGGTCGCTCCAAATACCCAATCTGTTCTAACCCAACTTCGTGTATTGTTGTTGTGTCAACAGCAATTTTACCTAAAGAAAACAAATACTATAACAGCATATCTTTATCAGAATTAAGACTATATAAATAAACTGAAAGTACTAGTAAATCAAACTTTAAGACTTGCAAGGAAAGGTAAGCAAAAAATGTTAACAATTCATTATGGAGTACTGCTAAATCAAATAAGGAAAAATACCTTAACTCATCTTATATGTATGAAAAGATGTGTATCTATAAAAGAAGCTATCATGAATACATCAAGTATATCCCATCAGATGGAGTTTCATTGATAATATTATAGAGTTAATAGTAATATTTATAAAGATTTCAAATTTCCACTGCAATGCAGATATTTTGAAAATTTTATTTGTAGATTTCTATGATTTATTCACCCAAATAAAAGTCACTGTTACAAAATAAATACATATAAAGTCCATGTAAATTCCATTTATATTCAGGTGGGTATTTAGAAGTTTTATTTGCCAATGACAAATTTTTTTTTACTAAAAATATTATTTTTAAATATCTTTAATATAGCATACTTATTAATGTACTTTGTAGTTTCCTTGTAAATTAAAAAATAAATCTTGCTTTATTTGGTAAAAACAGTTTGAAATATAACATAAGGTTCCAAAAATTACAAAATATATTTTAAAAATATTATCCAATATTTTCAAGCCAAAGAACACACCTTAATAATGCATAAGAATTTCTTCAAAAAAATCTGAATACTTTAAGGTTGCCTTACTTTGAACTGTTATTCTTTTTGACTGGGTGACTTCTCCTAGATTATTTTTGGCTTTGATTGTGAAAGTTCCACTGTCTTCAGGGAATACATACAATATGTCCAGGGCCACATAGCCAAAATCAAAGTATGTCTTGAATCGGTGACCTGTATAAGTAAAGACACAATAAAGGTTAAACCCAAAAATTTAATATAACTTTAATTAATACAAGTTAAACAAAAGAATAATTACTAGAACTCAACAGTTGGGCTGGATGATGAGTGACAAAAGTTTCTTTGGAAGGTTATATAAACAGTATAATACCTTAAATTTACAGTTTACATGCAAAAAAGCTGGCAAAGCATTAGAAACCAATAAGCCTAAAATTTGTGATAAAAATCACTCAAACACCAGATGCTTTTTTATACAGTGTAAACCATAATTTTTAAAATATTATACTGTATATATAAATAGCATTTCAAAGAAATTTTATCTCTCACTGTCCAGCCCAACTAACAAGTGCTGGCACTGAATGAAAGACCTCTTTGTTAGTAACTTATGGAAAACAAAAGATAGATCTTGAATGCTATTTTTACATTTCCTTGATTTTTTAAAATCCAAAATGAACAGATTAAGATGAGTATGCAAAAAGGAAATCTGCAATTTACATGATTTTAATAATAAATTTTAAGGATATTGGTTTCTAATCTTTCAGTAGGTTTTGACATGTAAACTGTAACTTTTAAAACAATAATTACTTAAAGAACATTTTAAAATTTCTTTATTTCATATTTTAAATAAGTAGATAAAAAAAAAAGAAATGAAATATGCTTGATTCAATAAATGTGTTACAAGAAGCATTACCACAATTCTATCACATAATATTGTTCCTTCTAATTATACTTGTAAGGTGTGTTTTAAAACATAAAGAGTAATGATGATTTATACTTAATTTTTGGTTTACAAGAAGTCTCCTATTGAGTTGCTAATGAGAAATAAATAAAGATGCACTACTATACCACCTGAAACTTTTTTAATGTTAAACTGATGTAGACTTATATAAAGGTAGCCTAAATCTCTTAAATATCTACTTAAAGAAACTGTATGCTTAACTTTATCATGAATTGGAAATCATGAAACATAATAATACAAGTTTTTCAAAAAGTCTACCAACTAAAAACGTTTGGGTTATCTTACACATAAATATCATGATATTTCAAACCTAGCTACACAAGATAGTATTTCTTATACACTGAAAGTTAACATTTTCCTTACATGAAAATGTATTTTCCATCATGCACTAGCACAGTTCATGTTAAGCATGTTTTATAGGTATGAAGTAGCTCAAGGCTAGTGGCATGCAAATCTCATAGGCAGATGTGCAATGGAATCAAAATGTTCCGTGTAAAGAGGTGAGTCATCATCATGCAATGATAGCTGTCCACCAATAGGAGGGCAACACTATCTCTTTGTGCAGCAGCTCCCCCTAAGCATGTGTGCTCAAATTAACTTCATTCTTAAATGAAGCAAGAAGAAAGCATACCAGAAGTGGGGAGGACAAGTGGGAAGATCTGTGGAGATGAGAATCTATCAGAAACACATTTTCAAGTAAGGAAAATGTTAACTTCTAAGATGTTTTCTCACCTTTTCATGCAGAACAGCTAGAATCCCATATTGAAATGGTGGAGAGGATAGTACAAACATTAAACCTTGATGAGCTCCCTTTCCAAAGCATCTGATGGGAAAGCCCACGAAATGTGACACTCAATGGCAGGGGCTCTATTGGGGCACACCTGTAGAAGATAATATCTCGTCTCTATCAGGGTATTCTCTTGCCCATAAGGAAAGGGAAAAAATGGCAAAAGAGCCCCAAGTGTCACAAGAATGCACTGAATTTTAGCATGACCAGCTGAGCACTAAGGCACAAGCCAAGAAATGTAGTGTGGTTAGGGTGCAATCAGATTATACAGTATGTCTTACTTCAACTCAACTGGACAGACTGTGATGGAAATGATGAACCCATCCTTCTAATGGAGGAGGAGGGCATACAAGCTGTTTGAGGGGTGACCTGCACTACACAGCTAGTGCCGCCAATGCCATACTTCTCACTGTATTGTGCTGTATACAATCCTTTAGGAACTGTCCAAGGTCCACCATCCAAATGGCTAGGAACTGGTAAGTAACAAGGGTCTTTTGTGCTCTACTTGAAGAAAGGGGGGGAAATTTGCATTGCGGAGACCCAGAGAAGCACCCAAATTCCAATTGGATGCCTGCCAGAAAGGTCCTTTATTGGAGGCAGTGCAATGGGAGACTTTGAAACCCTATTTTTAAAAGCCAACAAGCATGATGCTAGCTTTTTCTATGATTGTATGTGGAAGGTATGGTTTGGATTGAGTAACTGAGTAAAATTAATACCACAACAATACCTATAGTGGTTTTGCAGAACACCCATAGTAACAGTAGGCAGGGGTGAGCAAGGGTGGATGGCTTGAGTGCTTTCCATTACCCTTGGCCCAATGCAGATTTGGGAAAGAAGCATACCCTGGGAGGCAAAACCAGTCACCGTGGGATCCTATAAAAGGGAAAAGGGTTATGAAGAAGATAGTGTGTAGATTGAAGAACAGTGACTGGAAGGAGTTGAAATTCCACAAGAAATGAAATAGCCAGATGATAAAGATAATGGGAGACAAATGTGTGCATAGTTTTCCACATGCCAGCCTGAAGGATCTCCTTCAAGGGTCAGAGAAAGTGAGATGCAAGACAATGAAACAGATGAAGAATCTGATGTGACAAAATTTGAAAGAATATGTGAGCAACAACATCCAAGGAAGAATACACCAAGCAGAAAACTTGGCAAACCCATCCTGTAAGAATAGAAGGCAAGAGGCCCTTGGATGAAATGGTGTCCCAAGGTCAAACAAACAATGACAGGAACCCCAACAAGGGAGAAGTATGTGCCAAGTAACACCAAACAGCCTGAACAGGACATAGAAGGTGATCTGAGTACAAACAGGCATAAAGGTGAGAAATCAAAGGAAGATAGGTGAGAAAGAATGACCACCTTCTCTAGCAGCTAAAGTCTTAGAAAGAAAGGTCTAGTCTGGGTATAAAAGTAAGTATGGTGAAAGAGAGCCTGAGAAGCATTGATGGCATAAACATCTTAATTATGATGACCACAGGAAAAGGAAATATATCTTTACAGAAAGATAGGATAAAGAATATGAAACCAATGGCTAGAAGGGATCACATGTAAGAGCATGTAAAACCACATTAGGGTCCCAGTCAGGCATTGGAATAGAATGAGGGGGCTCAGTAAAGATGGATAGATATGAACAATATGGAGAGGACAGAGGAAGAAAAACTGGCAATCACAGGAAAGGTGAAATGTAGTTGATAAAGCTGCCCAATAATCAGAAATGGTAGAAACTGACAATCCATGGTCAAACAACCAAATGAAAAAGGCCAAAAGGTAGGCCACAGTAAGACAGCTCAGAAGATGGGAGTGGTGGATGGACAAACATAAAAAATCCACCACTTCTGTTGATAGACAGAAAGAGTTGAAGGACAACAGGAATGGGATAAGAAAAAGGCCACATGGTCAGAGAGGCAATGAATCCCACACTGAGTGAAAGAAAAACGTGTGTGGTTGGAGCAAGAGAGAGTGGGAATGGGACAGAAGAAGAGGGGACCCTGGATGCCAATTCACAAAACAGAAGAAACTAGAATTGAATCAACCAAAGAGGCACCAACAACAAGACCCAATAAGTAACATCATGTATCAATCATGGACACAAGGTACAGATGGGATGAAGAGGAGGATAAGCATGCAGAAAAAGGTGAGACAAGTCCTGGCTTAAAATACTGACTGCCAGGACCAAATAATGAGGAACCAGAGACCAGTAGATGGGAAGTTTGGTGATGAGATGAGTGGAAAAAGCATTAATGAGGGGTGTGCCCAACTGAGAGTAAACTCAATGAAAAACCTGAAAGTTGAGAGATCACTCCATAGGTAGAATCCTGTCTGGCCATTAGAGACAATCCACCAACAAGTTTAGAACCCCCATGATAAGCCATGAGATGAACCCAATGGTAAAGAGCCCAAAACAGCAGGTCTAATGCACAAAAGCAACATATCCTGGAATAGGTACCCCCTGACAAATGATACAACATTCCCAATGGACTGTGAAAAGCTTGAGTACATTGATGTCGAGTAAAGAATCCTCTGGAGTCCACATGCCTAAAGTCATGTTATTTTTCAGAAATGCACCCCAGCCCAACAGAAAAGCATATCTGAAGGGATTGAGATCCTGTTGAAGGGGTGGTAAGGGGATTCCTACTGTGATATTGGCATAGTTGAGCTGTCAAGACAAGTCCTCAAGAAGAGAGGATGGGAGGTGCACAATCAAGGACAACAAACCCCAAGAAATGTTCTACTGATCCCACAATTTCTCACAGGCAGATATGCAAAAAAATCAAGCTATTCTGTGTACAGAGATGAGGTATTATCTCAGAACCTCCTTTTGTCATCAGAAGTACAAATTAGTAAATAAACTATGGACAAGAATAATTTAACTTTGTCAATATACATAATTAAAGTTGTTATAAAATATTCTATTGAAAGTAAAACCATAATTTCCACTTCTAGAAAATCTATTTATGAAACCTTAAATTTTTTTTATTTTATTTGTAAAAAAATAAATTTTACATTTGGCTTACCAGTTGTAAGAGGGTATCCATTAAAGTACCATTCAACAATCATGTTTGGGTCACCAACAGGTTCTAGTCGGGTTTCAAAGTGGGCACTTTGCCCCTCCACCAGGATCTCTTTACCTACTAGAGGCTCGGTAAATTGTGGTCGCTGAGTGACAGTAGTCTCCTCATAAGTTGCCCGCTGGTAGTGAGAACTGTCTTCGAGATGCTGAATTTTCTCCAGGCCTTCAGGGTAGTGGGTCTCCAGGACCACACTTTGTTTAGCTAAAATGTTAGAAATTGAAAGGCTTTATTACACACTGATTTCAAATATGCTATAAAGTGTATTCAGTGCTTTGCAGCTAATTTTTGTAAAGTGATTTCTTTTAAAAAAAAACATTAAAATGCAAAAAAACTTCCAAGCAATCATGACTACACCAAGATTCCTCTCTTTGTATATGTGGAAAAACTACTCTGTATTAATAGGTAATTGGTCAAAAACATCAATGGCCTCTCGGGGGTACTACTAGCAGGAATATTTTTGGACCCCTCACACATCTCCTAAAAAATTTTAATATTTCCACAAACTGAAAATATAGCAATATAAATATCAATACATATGCTAAAAGGTCATTTCTACTCACATATAAAACACCATGTTGGTATCTTTTTCAAATCATTCACACTATGTGTATACTACACTTACCAACCAATCAGCATATGTGCACTGCATAAGTATCTGGCTGAGAAATATCCTGCTGATACAATTTTTGAACATCTATCCATTACTGGGTGATGTATTTTTGGATTGCTTTCATTGAAAACACTTTTTTTTTTGTAAATGAATACAATACTTAAAAAGGCAAAAGGTATGATGAAAACAAATCTCTATGAATCAGGGGCTTTTTTAGCTGTTTGGACCCTAAACAACTGCTTAATCTGCTTACGCCTACTGCTGAAAAACTGTACCGATATATCAGGTAAGTGGCCAAGAACAATAATGATATCCTTTTTGTATATGTTGAATATTCAATTTATTCTTTAGGTATCATCCAAAACAACAAGGGACTTATTTTTCCCTATCTTATCTAATAATAAGTTCTTAGAATTCTGAAGTTTAGTTTGTTTGCTGTAAAGTACAAAGCTACACGATACCCACCAAGGGTATCGGAACCCAGTTTATAGTGTTATAAGCCTTCAAACTTACCACTGAGCCACTGGGGGGTCTAAAGTTTAGAGTAAACAATTTGTTACTTTATAAGCAACATAAATTAAAATTTAAGTTAACTTATAAACACAGTTTCAATAACACCTGTCACAATTACAACAAAAAATACTTAAAAGAAAATTAACAACTTTTTTAAAACTACATATTTAAATTATTTTATAATGTAAATTAAAACTGTAAAAAAATTGCTTCCAAAAATACCTCTGTCTAATTATAATTTTTGTCTAACTTCACAAATGAATTTTATAGAAAAAAATATGCAATTTGAACAAGTGCTACACAAAATTGAGTATGTTATATTAAAACAATTTTGAGTATGCAAATCAGCAAGTCAGGTGACAACCACAGTCGACATAAAATCAAAGCAGATGGCTTATATAAGAACTATATTTTGAGATTATCTGCTGTTTTGTAGGTAGTGTGATGCTACTGAATACTGGTTGCTTTCGGTATTTCATATGTAGTATGATGCCACCAAAAACATTCTCTTTCATATTAATACACTTAGATCAGAAAGATATGTTTAGATCAAAGATTTAGAATTAACAAGACAAAGATATCCCTTGTACTTAAAGACATTGGAAAACAAAGAATTTTGAATCAACTTGGGGCATCAGGACAATTCAAAAAGAAAGATGTAATGTGAAAATACAAGAACACAAAAAAATCATTGGAAAAATTTATCCATATTCCTCAGGCAACACAACATAAGCAACAAGTTATATATATACAAGTTGCTTCATGATATGTTTATTCAATTGTCACACACCCCATGCAGATGGAGAATGAAATGGGTATTCATGCTGTTCTATTCAAATACATACTTGTCAAATTGCCTTTAGCTGCCTGTGCAACCAGACTGTTGAAAAAGATACTAAGAAACCATTGTTCTTATATACTAGAATAACTATTGAAAGCAAACAGGAAGTAATGGTGTGCTTTTTATATGCCAGCTTTACAACAGAACCTTTTGCAATGTAACTACATTGCAGAACTATTGGCAAGATGTAGGCTTATCTGACATAATAGCGTGAACTGTAAGGACATGGTGAGGTTCCAAAAACATTTTAATATAATGTATTCAACCTATGTATAAGATTATCAAAATCTCAATCTATTTGAATGTGTTTTAAATCTGGTATAGGTTTGAAATTCTACTGAAGCAATTAAAATATTTAAATATTTAAATTACTATGTAAAAACTAAAGGGCTTTTTTTAATTTTTACCATCATAGTGATAGATCATATAAGAAACTTACTTTTACAAGTTAATGTTGCTGATGATTTTGCTGTTCCAATATTATTGATTGCCATGCACGTATACGAGCCCATATCTCGAGTACCAACTCCACGAATAGTCAGAGAAACATAGCCAAAATTGAAGAACATTGTTGTTCTGGAACCTGTTAAATATCATTCACAAACTTTCTCATTACAAACTATATTTGTGTTTTAAAATTGAATGCTACATTTTGGTTCTTATAGTAGCCTGTAACATTAAATCAACACTAGAAAATAATCTAACAAATAGAATGTGTTAAATCTGTAAATGAGAATACACAAATATTTTCCCTAGATAGAATAGTAATTTTTACACCAGTTTTTTCTAACAACACTTACAAGAGGGTAAAAGATACTTACTAGCTTCCAGGGGCTTCCCATCTTTGAGCCATTCAACTCGCATGTTAGAGTCTCCAGTTGGCTCAACACGGGCTTCAAATCGAGCAATTTTACCTTCTTGAATATCTACAATGTCTCTTAGAGGTGACCGGAACACAGGCGCTGTCTGTGGTACAGCTTCCTCTACCACAATTTGTTGGTGTTGTTGTCGTTGCCAGGACTCTAACTCTTGAATCTTCTCTTGATATCTTTGCTGTTCTGGGAAGCCAAGATCATAAACAACTTGTCCCACAGCTGGAAAGGAAAAGACAAATTATCTTTGTATGTAATTATTTTATTAATTTCAAACATTAAAAACTTCAAAGTCAAATTAAAAAAATACAGAATTTTGTATGAATTGCTAAGAAGAACAAAAATATATATGAAAACAATTTCTAAGGAGTTATACAGATGCTGGAATACCAAGACACAAGTTTAAAAAAACACATTATTATTACACTAATTTTTTGGGTATATTTATCACACTATCAACTGAATAGTTCTATTTATAATTTTAGCTAAATATAACTGCAACAGTTCACAACAACTTCATTTCTAAGTGAAAAATTAAAGTTTTTACTGCAAAAAATGGACAAAAAGATGTCAGTGTTAGACATTAGAAGGTGTTTTTCTCAGCTTATGAAATTTGTAACATCTTATTGCTAGCTTAAATATATGTTAGCAAAAATCAGTGTGTAATGTTTATAAAAAAAATTATTATTTATTCCACTTTACTAGTTCCATAGAAATTAGGTTAATACAATTACAATATACTCACTAATCACTTTCAGTGTTGCTGTTGATAAAGCTTCTCCTTTCTGGTTGATTGCTTTACACATATAAACCCCTGAGTCTTCAGCTCGAAGGTACTTGATGTTCAGAGCTACATACCCAAAGCTGAAAGTTGTGCTTACACGAGTTCCTATAATGATTTGAAAACAGGTTTATATAAGTTACTAGAGAAACAGGGTTATGAAAATTCTGACTATTCATGCTACTACTCTCCTCTTACAAAATTATATTTGTTTATTTATAACTACTAATTGCTACTATTTTTGTCAGTCCTTGAATAGTGGGCAGGTACCAGAGGATTGGACGTTAGCTAATGTAACTCCTCTTTTCAAGGGAGGTGATAAAAATTGTCCCAGTAATTATAGATCCATTAGTTTGGGAAAACTTCTGGAAAGTCTGATAAAAGATGCTTTGCAAAGTCATTTAACAAAGTTTAGAATTATATTGGATAGTCAACATGGTTTCATTAAGGAAAATCTT